TTTTTTAATTTTTAAACTTAACCATCAAAATTTAAATAATTTTAAATCGATTTGGTTCAATTTTTAGTCAAATAAATCCGAAATCTAGTCAAACCTTACCTATCGGTTACAGTTTTGTCGGTTTTCAAGTTTTTTTCGATTACGAATTTTTTGACCCAGCCATAGTAAGCAAGCATGTCAATTTAATTTAGCCAAATAAAGAAAAGGTTTGCTCCTCCTTTTTGGTGAAAAAAAAGAAGAAGAAGAAAGAAAAAGTTTATTTAACACATGCTTTTGATGTAATAAATAAATTATTTTATAATTAATTTATATTAAAAAAATAAAGATAAACTTTTATTTTGTTATTATTGTTATGTGAATAATTTTAATTAATTAATTAAATTAAAATTAATATTTATGTTTTTTTATATAAATTAATTATAAAAATATAAAATAAATGTACATTTAAAGCACAAGTAAAACCAATCGATAAAGAAAATTCACTTCCCCCAACAATTTAAAAGCTGCAACATGAGTCACCATAAGTAATGCGTTGTGCATTATTTAACTTCAGTTCCCAAAAAAAGGTAATGTGTGGTCCATTTAGGGATGACAACCCAGTGGGGCTGCTTCCCAGTTAGCTTTTTGAGGACATCTTCTTTGCATAATGTACCTTGCGGGATTCCCATTTTGACAAGCAAATTTACATCCAACCATATTACTTTTTTTTCTTTTTTGAACAAGTTGTAAATAAGTGGACTCGAAACTTATTCATAGAGAAAAAAAAAACACCTTAAACTGACAAGTTACCAGTTGACTCGTAGAGCCAACTACATCCAACCATAGTACTTACTGCTTAATTTATTGGGCAAATAAATGAAGAGATAACCTTTTATAAATTTTCTTTAGTATCGACATCAATGACTCTAGTGCACAATCAACCCACGCTACCATCTGTTATGATAAACCATGCAAGAGCAGGCAGACGAACACCAATAAATGCAGGAAAAAAGGGGGTACAGGAGAGGTGAATAAATCAATGCCCCTACTTTCTTTCCCATCTATCTTACATCTTTTGTAAATAAGAGAGTTATGTTACAAATCAAAATTGTGGTGCGGTTGCAAAGACCACAGCTAGTTTCTCCAACATTTTCAATAGTCCAGCTTTAAGCAAATAAAATCAAATTGCACAAAGCTTACACATCTCCCTCTCCATACAACTTCATGCAGTTCAGTCACCTTTATGGCATTCTGTGTTTTAAATGAATTAGCAATTTGTGCCAGGAGGTAAAACCCACCCCTCACATGGCACGTTGATGGTCTCTGATCCTGCCAGTTAATCACACAACATTCGCTGCAATGGAGGAGTGTGACGACTGATGACAGAATACGGAACCAGAATCAAATACTTGACACCAAGGGCCACATGCTGCCCTCCCACAACCAGATCACTAGAGTACCCAAGTCAAGAGTAGGTGATTGACCGAGTGCCCAAACAATGTCAGTAAGGAAGAACATATGGGAGAGCGTGGACATCAGCTGACTCTATCCACAGGGAGTCTGCCCATACCTGGGGTGTTTTATCAATCTCAGAAGTTCCCATGTTGGGCTTCTTTGATTGAGATCCATTGTTCTCGAATAGCCATTCTTGTGCATCAAAATCAGGCCACTCTTCCATTTTGGGCACTGAGAGTACCTGGCTCAAAAACTTTGAATCTGGATGAGGTGGTTTAGTTGACACTTTATCTGCCTGCACTAATTGTGCACCAGCCAATAAAGACTTTGTTGAGGAGACAGAAATCATCTGAGCTTCAATTACACCATTTACCTTGCGTTCTTTACTATCCACTTTAATATTGGTAGCTGCACCCTGGCCATCTGGTGTGAGAGAAACCTGGCAAGATTGCAATATTGTGCCATTGTCCTTCAATGGATGAGAGGAAGTGGATTTTAGCAACTTATTGGATTTCATGTCATTAGCTGCAAGAAAATCAATAACAAAGTATAAATACATAGCCATAAGAGCACAAATCTCAAAACCTGATATGGAAGAGATCAACAAAGGAGTAATTAAATGTAAATGCAGCTATATTGAAAAAGATTTTTTGTAAGGGTTTTGAAAGGAAACTAAATCAAATCGTAATAGACATAGGAGACTAAGCCTAATATAATTTCCCTAGAATTACAGAATATCCATAATTATAAAAGAATCCTTGATAACATGTGGCTGTTCTTCCAAATATTCTTCCTTGACTACATCATGTTTCTAAGGATTTAAGGGCCATGAAGATTTAGCAAATTAGGTAATTTGAACGTAAAGTGATATATAGAACTCACCATGTACAAAAACTAATTTGTACAAAAAAGTGATACAGAACTCACCATGTACAAAACCATTGTTCTCAAACTCTTTCCTTTTCCGCAAATTTTCTTCCACAACAGCATTTTTGTTGCTTTCCTTGGAAGGATGAGAGGCTTTAAGGTTAACAGTATCTATGGGGCCAACTTTCTTGCTCTTGTTTAAGTTACCCTGCTCCACATTCCTCTGTTCACCTTTTGCTTTCGCCTTCTCCTCTTTCTTCTCTTTATCCTTGTCTTTATCTTTGACATGACTTTTCTTCTCTCCATCTTTATCCTTCTGTTTATCCCCAAGTCGATCATCAATCTCTTTCTCTTTGGTCTTTTCTTTTCCTTCCATCCACCAGTTGACATCCCCGTCCACTTCCATCCACCAGTCGACATCCCTGTCCACTTGTCTCGGAATTCCATCAACTCCGGTTGGAACTGCTTCAGAGACATTGTGGACCAAAGCATTTTCAGCAAATCTTGACTCCTGCCCAATTCCTTGCCCATCCAACCTCCTATTGTCACTTTTCTTGTTCTTTTCCTTTCCTTCTGCCAACATTCTGGCACTCTTGGATGATAGCAATCTGACAGATCCCTCTTCTCTTTTTTGCTCTGTTCCCATAAACTTCTCAACCAACTGAGTTTCAGTTCCCCTTTCTTCATCTCTGACTTTCCGGCCCAAGTCCTGTACAAATTTAGAATTCTTGTAATCCTGAGCCAGATGGCTATTCTGGCTAAGCTTCTCTCCATTATAACCTGAAAACCGTCCTGCAAGTTTATTCTCTCCTGAAACACTGTTTCTATATTTGTTCCTTTCCTTCTCTTTTTGACTAAATTCCCCTCCATTGTGACCCTCAGATTTTTCTTGAAGCTTCTTCTCATCTGAGGTCTTCTCTCTACTTTGACCTTCAGTATGCCCTGAAAGCTTTTTCTCGTCAGTGAGATTGCTTCTATCTCTGTCTTTATCCTTATTCCTGTCCTTCTCCTTCTTCTTATCCCTGTCCTTTTCCTTTCTGTCTTTCTTGTCCCTATTCTTTCCATCACTTCTATCATTCTCCTTTTTTTCTTTACCTTGTCTCTTCTCCTTATCCTTCTTCTCCTTCTTATGCTTCTTCTCTTTTTGCTTCTCCTGACCAAGAAGAACAAGATTAATAAGAACATCAATACATAATTCAACTAAGAAAGCAAATAATTACACAATCATGGTGAAATAATTATAACAGGCAAGTTTAAAATGACAAACTCTCCAGTTTCTTTGAGAGTGTAAAAGGCAAACTGCCACATTTAGTTAGTTTTGAGTCATCAGGATGTTAGAGATATAGATCAATAATTATTATTACATCCTCCAACAGATTGCATTCCAGAAAATAATCAAGAAATTTGAAAGTAATTGATTTCACAAAATCATTACAAAAGAAATTAAGTGAGATGCTCATTGTATTATCAGTACATGCAGCAGGAAGAATCAAACATCATGACAAAATGGAGAAATGATGAGTGTTACAGTGTTACTCACTTTGAATACAAAATGCAGAATTCCTGAATATTTCATTCTTCTACCATTGTTGTTTATGCAATCAGTATTTCTACTACATCTCTGGCTTAGGAATATTCATTCTTGTAATCAAATAATGTGGCAATCACACATTAGTAGATCAAAACAAATCGTTAGAAATTACGCATGTATATATATAATTTTTTAATTTTTTAGAGGTCTGGTGGATAAACACTCTTCTCATGCGTATATATAGAGAGAGAGTTAGGATCCACTTACAAACAAATCTTACACACCATACTTATACACAAAATCTTGACCATTCATCTCTCCACTTTCAATGGTTGAGATTTGTTTACTTTTTATCATATTTATTAAAGATAATTATCTTTTTCATCTAAAAAAGTCATGATAAATCTCAATCATTAAAAGTGGAGAGATGAATGGTTAAGATTTTCCGTAAGTGTGGTGTATAAGACTTGTGTGTAAATGGATCCCTACCATCCATATATATATATATATATATATAAGCATGTATTAACCTTTCAAAAGATACAATAAACACATACATAAATAAACAATGTGAACATTCAATCATAAAGTTTTATAAGTTTAAAAACCAATCAAACAAAGTGGTGGAATGCATCAGCTGTCTAAATGGCAGATAAATGGTCCTACTCAATTCAACTAAGCTCCAGCATAAACCTGTCTTGGTTAAGTTGTAGGATATGAATCCCCTTTTTTCTCTTTTTGTGGAATGTGGACATGAGAGAATCCCTTCATTCCATTTCAACCAATCTTGTTATATTATCTAAAGATTTTAAAGATTCCAAATCCTCTATTAGACTATTACTACCTTAACCCCCCTCGTGGTCAATCATAATAGTCCAATGAAATTCTTGATAAAGTTGATGTTTAAAGTTATCTGAAAACTTTGACACAGTGGAGGCCACATATTTAAAGACACCAAGGAAACCAAATATTAAAAAATGCCACTTCAAATGTACCAAGAAAATTCCATTTTGATCCCACATCAACATATATTATTGAAAAATCCTTTTAATCCTCAATACTAACTGTGAGAATTCTCATACAAGTCATACATAACCTCAACAGAGTTTCTTGTGCACATATACTCAGAACATATCTGCTTTCTGCAGCATTCAACCTCATGATATCTAACAACAATAGGAACAATATTAAGATTCTTTTCCATTCAAAGCATCTAGAAATCAATATAGCAGGAGCTCCACAAGGGGTTCATAAAGCTAAAACTTATGATGCTATTGTTTCATATGCACACTCCAAAAGGTACTGTAACCCACTCAGAAGCCACAGACCCAGTAGTTCAATTTGGGTACACAAACTGAGAACCTTTACAACTATCATTTTCATTATGGCAAGGCTTTTCACGTAGTTTCTCTTTTGGTGGGTTAAATTCAAAAATACCAATGCAGCACCCAGTCTTGCAAGATACGAATTTGGTACAGCTTACCAAAACAATTTATAGTATCTATATAAGTTGATACATACATGTAAAGACACGTGTCCTAACCCACGTCATCAGAGGGCTACGTAATGCTATAATCATCCTATCAACTAATCAATGAAATTACCAAAAGGATTCGTTCAAAGCAATAACAGAAAGTTAGGTAATGCAGATATTTGTTAGTTAAAGGAAAGCGGCAATTCTCAAGAAGATAATAAAATAATCTACAGAAATGGAAAACTAAATCCTATAATTTCAATTTAACACAAATTGTTAAGGAATGTGTTTTAATGTGTTTTCATGATCCTAATGAAAGGTATGCTGATTAGAAAATGCTAGCGAGAATTAAAGGAAAGGAAAGAGTGTTAACCTTTTTTAGCAAGTCCACATCATTAGTCCTGGCCTTCTTTTCATAACCTGGCGGAGGGAAAGGAAAGCAACGCGACATTGCACAAAAACCCAAAGCACAAAGCACAGATACCTTCTAGAAACCTAAAAGCATGAATTAATTTCCAGTAGCACTGTTCCAAAAAGGGAACGGACCAGTAACTATACTCTTGTCCATGCACCATGTCCCTGCATGCATTTCCAGCTTCAATGCCTCTCCATGAAGTCCAGTCACTCTAAACAGTGGAGAGATCCTAAAACCACCAACCTCCAATCCAGATTACTGCAAGTGAAATCTTCATTTCAGTGGATTCAGCTAAAAAAATAATTTCAAATGCCAAAGGCAGCCACTATAATCACTAAATAAGAGTTACCATGATACTACACTACACCTGTTCAACAACAACCAGATCAATAAACAACTTAAGAGAAGCTCTTCCATGAACAATTTAGCTGAAACGATGTTAAGCCAAATGATTTTCTATTAAACAAAAATGGTCCAATACAATTTTTTTTTTTTTTTTCTGTTGCTTTCCATGAAAATAAAGAATCATCAGTTCATCACTAACTCCTTACAAGTAAAACCCAGTACCAAAATCATTCCCCGAGTTAGATCAATCCCACAAAAGCTTGAAAACCCAGAAACCCTTTTCCTCAAACACTTCCAAACTCTTGATCAGTATCTACTCAATTCTATACATGCAATCCTCTTCCATGCCTAGAGCAAGAATGTCTCAAACGCCATCATTCTCTAGGCAATCCCAAAGTTCAACAGCTCGACCCAACATCAATCCAATCCAAAAGGCCAATCCCAAACTAAATGGGACCGATACGCATTGTACACGATCCCAGAAGCACACTTGCTCTCTGGTCAAACCCTAATCAGTGGCAATTTGCAAAATTCAACAAATTCCCAAGTTGGATCCAGATAAAACCCTAGAAAATCCAACAAGAGAAAATTTGCTGAGCAAATATTCCAGTACCCACGACCACAAGCTAATTCCATTCCCAGAAAAAAGAAAAGCTGATAGTAGATTAAAACCCTAACCCAAAAAATTTAAACTTGAAAGACAGTCAGAAGAATCAACCCACTATTTTTTCCAGCATCTACTGCTAAATGGGTATCGATCAAAAGCCCAAAAGACCCTCGATTCAAAACGTAAATTTGAAAGAAACCCAAGAAACAACAGAGCAAATTTTAATGAAAGATCTCATGGAAGATAATTGTATAAATTGAATTGATAATGGGATTACCTTGTCCACTACAAAGTGGGGCATTGTAGGAGGACAAGATCTTTCTCCCAGGTTAACAGATTAAATCTAAAAGATTAAAAGAGCAAAAATGATGTAAAAGGGTATCTCAGTTTTTCCTCTCTATCTGAGTGTTGTTGGTCTGGCCCCCTGAGCTGCGGTCTGTGTAATCTTTGTGTGTTTATGAAGGGAAGAGAGGAGAGGGGGAGAGGGGGTGGGGGGGTTTTGGTTCGGAAGTTGCACGCGATAATGGAAAATTTAGAGGCCGAATTCCCAAAGAGGCCCAAATAAAATCTGGAAGCCACTCATCTCTCTCTCTCTCTCTCTCTCTGTCTTTTCTCTCTCAAGCAAATACT